GGGAACCCAAGAGGCAAGCGAATTTTGGGAATGATGAGGGCAACAAATGTATAGATGTGCTTTACACAGATGATCTATGTATTGTGATGAATTTTATGAGCCCCAATAAATTGATTAAAAAAAACAAAAACAACACATACCACTTCAGTGTCTCTACATGTACAACTTAGTGACACTGATTGCATGATTCAACTAGTGCAACCATTCTCACAATCCTTTTGAGTTGTCACTTCCTCATTGACACTCACCGCTGACCACAAGGAAGACGATGCCTTGAGCGATAGTCCTCAGAGGGCAGAACTAAGGAAGTTGCCAATGGCACAGAAAGATAACCTACCAACAAAAGTGTTCTTTCCAGATAAAGAAGCTTTGATCTTCAGTATATGGTATAGTAAACTCAGTAAAGGCTTGACTTCATGAGCTGTTCCATCTATTTGGGTTCTACTTTGATTAGACCATTGTTTCCCCAAGGTGGCTGACAACACTCCTTGGGGGGCTCTGGAACAATCCAAGAGAGCTGCAGAAGCATATACACACTTTATTTTGGATTATGGGCTATATTAAAAAGATTTTAATTGCCAGGGGCTGCTGAAAAGGGGGCAGTAGGCCAAGTTTGGGAACCTATGGCTTAGACTCTGTGAGCGAAAATTTAGGGGCAGACTGCTGAGCTACTGACAATGTAGCCAACTGGAGTCAGTGACCTTCAAAGATGCAGCTACAGACTTCACCCAAAAAGAAAGAGCCCTACGAGGAAGGTGTAGGCGGCCTGGTAGGGTGTGATCAAGGGCACTATAACCGAGAGGAATTACTGAAACCCAAATGAAGGCTGAGCATGATAGTGGGACAAGAGGAAAGTAAAAGGAAATAGAGGAAGGAACTAGGAGGCAAAGGGCATTTAAAGAGGTCTAAATACATGCATGTACATACATATATAAATATATTTATATACGATGATGGGGAAATAGATCTATGTACATATATTTATAGGTTTAGTAATAAGGTAGCAGATGGATATTGGGCCTCCACTCAAGTACTCCCTCAATGCAAGAACACTTTGTTTTATTAAAATGGCATTCCATGATGCTTACCTTCCTGACACGATTGCTGAAGAAAAAGCAAGTGCATGAGCAAATATGAAGAAAGCTGATGGTGCCCGGCTATCAAAAGATATAGCGTCTGGAGTCTTAAAGGCTTGAAGGTAAACAAGCGGCCATCTAGCTGAGAAGCAACAAAGTCCACATGGAAGAAGCACACCAGCCTGTGTGATCACGGTGTCGAAGGGACCAGCTATCAGGCATCAAAGAACAAAAAAGCTTATCAGTGAATGAGGGGGAGTGCAGAGTGGGGATCCAAAGCTCATCTATAGGCAACTGGACATCCCCTTACAGAAGGATCGTGGGGAGGAGACAAGCCAGTCAGGGTGCAGTGTAGTGGGCGAGGAGAGACACTGGTCAATGTAAGACATGGAAAAATAATGATTTATAAATTATCAGGGGGCAGGGAGTGGGGGAGGGGGGAGAGGGAGGGGAAAAAAATGAGGAGCTGATAACAGAGGCTCAAATCAAAAACAAATGTTTTGAGTAAGATGAGGGCAAGAGATGTACAAATGTGCTTGACAATGGATGGATGTCTGGATTGTGATGAGTTATACAAACCCCCAATAAAATGATTTAAAAAGAAAAAGAAAGAAAAAGCCCTAATTGGATACATCTCAGAGAAAACTGTTCAACGACGCTCAATGGAAAGCACCTATCACCTTGTCTATGTGGGAAATCACGTCAGTGAGATGCAATTTCTCAACTGGAGCAAGGAAAGGAAATGTGGAGAGAGGTATATGATTTCTCTAAGGCCAGAGTTTAGGCAGGGGAGGTACCTTGAAAAGCAAATTATCTTTGCAACCTATCTACAAAAAGAAAAAATTATCATGGCAATGCAGAGATCTCTCACTCGAGAGGATTCCTTTGAATGTAATACTTTGGGAAAAGATGTCACTCATAACTTCACATTGACTCAACACGTGTTAACTCATACAGGAAACAGCAAAGAATTTGGATAATCCCTTAATAATCAGCCATCTTTTATTGGTATTTCACAAAGAATGTCATCTTTGTGGGGAAGTATTTGTTCAAAGCTCTGTCCTTCAGCAACATACTGGAATTCATGCTGAGGAGAAACCATATGAGTGTCATCTGTGTGGGAAAGCCTTTAGTAACTACTCAAACTTTA